GGGCAGATGCACCAAACACAAACCAGAATTATGGAGGGTGGCCACTGCTATGACTCAGTTTGAAGAAAAGAGTAACCAATGGTAGAAATGAATTAAAGAGTAGAGAATGAACCAGGTATTTTACAACAATGCTGAATAACTTGGTAATTTTAGGACTTCTATCCAAAATAATCTAATCAGAAAAGGACCAGACTTTTGTGCTTTTCATAAAGGAATCCTCTGAAATATCAAGCACCGCATGCAATGTTTAGATTGTCTATTACAATTAGAAACAACAGAACTCTGTGAAACAAACATGGAGTCATACACATCACTAACAAAGTCCAGTCAAATAGAATTATTTCATGGATACATGATCATTTAAGCTCAGATGAAGCTAACAAATTCCTAACTTGAACCTTACAATTAGGGATCACATGTTTTTCTTACATCAGTTTTAATAAAGGAAAACCTGCAGGTTTATACAGATGCTGTTTTATATACTACATACAGGTCTGCATGTATCACCACAATACTGGCAGCAGCACAGACATTTGGACAGATGTACACATATAAACAGCTTTTGTTCTAAAAACACATCACTCTCCTCAATGAGCAAAGGCTTCTATTTTCTCACTTCTGTGGATATCCTGCATATTCCATTCCGACCCCAACTATGCTGCTCTTCAAGGCCTCTACCATTTTCCCTTGCTGAACTGAGACTCAAAGCAATACAACCTGGCATTGGTGAACCATTTGAAATAAGAAGCACTTACAAAATGATCCAAGCCTTTCTCTGCAAAGGAAACAGGGCACCTTCTCTGCTTTTTCTAGTTGCCAAACAACACTGACTCAGCTGGGAAAAGGGCACATTTGCAGCAAGTCAAATGTTGTACCACAGATTTAGCCATCTCCAAGGAGGAAAAACAATCTCACCCTTAAATTCCCCCCTTCCGGTCTTCACTTCTTCATACAAACACCATTTTTTACAAAGGGAAAAGATCTTTGGTTGACTGTAGATAATAGTCATTGAAAAAGTTCCTTTAGCCACTCCATTCATAACAAATGTGCTCTGCAGGAGCAGAATTCTGCAACAGAATTCCTCTACTGGGGTTCCCTTATACATCTTTATTTTTCCCCACTACTCCTCACTCCCTCAACATATAAGGAAAAAAACAATGTTATTGCTCTTTCACATCTCAGCTTCAAGGCACTGGATCAGGCAACAAGAAAATTACAAGCCAACAAAGTAGAATCCTAAACTGCATCCACTGAAAGGAAGATTAGGTACACAGGTTTGGGATCCCTAAATAACCTACGTCTTATTAACACCTTTCCGTTTGAGTATGTTCAACATTCCACTCACAACAAGCTTTGTGGGTGCTGTCTGCCCCACTTAAGGTAATTGAGCACAACAGAACTATAATGAATATAGAGTATTATCCCGTTCACCTGCTCAGTAAGAACAATACTGCTTTCCTCAACGCTTCCAAACTCATTAGAGTCAGCACTTATTTGTTACTCAGACACATTATGGGCTAACAGATGGCTATAAGGGTGGTAAACAGCAGTGCCCAGCTGCAGCACAAGGAAATACATGGATGCCTTGTGAGAGACAGCATCAGCAATTCTCCCAGTGTTTTTAAGTTATGCTGATATGAGCACTGTAGACAGAATGAAGGTTACAGCTGAGTCATGTAAGTATGATGTTAAAAGGGGCTACAATATTTCTCAGTACCAAGAGACTTTGCAGGAACACAAATTTTGACGATAGATCTGTTACTGCTAGTTATTATTTATCAGTAAAGTCCACTACATTTTTCCTTAAAACTCTTTGATGACTGCACCTTTCTTGAACCTATTTCTATTTTGGCTTACATGTTGTATTTGGTTCTTCAATTCAATGGTACAGTGTGTGAAGGAGGACATTGATGTCTTGGATGTAGGATTTTAATACTAGACCAGGCTGCCAGATTGGATGGGGCCCTGGGCAACCTGGTCTGGTATTAAATGGGGAAGTTGGTGGTCCTGCCTGTGGCGGAATGGGTTGAAGATTTATGATCCTCAAGGTCCTTTCCTACCTGGGCCATTGTGTGATTGTGTGATGTCTTAAATAACACAATTTCTTAGTAATTAAAATTAATAGTAATTTCTTGATATTTTTTATTCTCAATATCCAGAAGTACACACTTCTAGGCTGTCTTGTAAAATGAACATTAACACTAAGGAGAAAGCTGAATAAAGTTATGGTGCTCACTTCTTAAAAAATAACAACCTAGAAAATAAGATATATAGGTCCAATTTCCCTAATCTGGGTAAATAAGAAGCTGAAACAGCATGGGCGTCATGTCATCCAGATATCTCATGAGTACAGCATAGATGTGCAGTCTCACATAGCTGGTACCACAGACTCAGCAATCTGCACAAACTCTTGATGTTTACTTTGTTCTATTACTCTCTCCTCCTTTCCCAATCCAAACATTCCTTTAGTGAAGCTCATTTCATTTCTCTACTACTGCTTGTCTTTTCCTCAATATTCAATCCTTAATCATATTCTTGAGTGTAAACACCCAAGACTCAAAACTCACACGGCTGAGAAAAGTCACCAAGGTAGCTGCCTCCTCAGTTTCACCTGCTGTTTGTGTAACTTACACTGTTGTTGGCTACTCAGTAAGTGGTTGCCACTATTGCATTTGCCCTTCCAGCTGATCTTTGGAAATAAACACAAGTAGCCTGGGACAGAGGAAAAATACATCATTGAAGGCTGAGACAGTGAACCTGAAAGTCACTCACATGAAATACTGACCTCATGCTGCTCTTTTCTCAAAGTTATGTACTAAAAAAGTTATAAAGCTGCAGGCAGCAAAGAGGAGGCTATGTGGGCTGCTCTGCTAGGATTCACAGCATGTAAGAAGCTAAGCATTTTGACATGTTCGGGTTTGTTTTCTCAGAAATATAACCTTTTCTACCTCAACCCTAATTAACAAAGGTGCAGTTGAGTCTGAGAAATTTGGGGACTAAAGGAACACTTGTTTGTTCTTAGCCTGCCAACTTAGTGTCACACTCTCGGCAGATCACTTTATTCTTCCAGTCTCAACAGAGGCCAATTAGATGAGAATTACGCTAGACTCCAGTTATATTTCTGTTGTCTTACCAACAGCTGATATTTCACATGATATGATATTAATACAGATGATAGAGCACAACTGAGCCTGGATGTATCTGTAAGAACACCACTTCCTTCAGCTAACTCCCTACAAGCCTTTGCTAGGATTCTTCTGTCACACTGCCTAAAGCAGCACTAAGCATTGTTAAATCCACACTGATGATGAGAGTTCTAAAAAGACTTCTCTAAGAGCAACTGTAGCAATGTGTTTTACTGCTTTTCAGTCAGGAATTTGATTAACTCCATCTCCATGCTACTTGCTCCGTGCTCTCTTCAGACTCCAGAAGTGACAAACGTAATTGGCTTTAAAAATAGGTGCTAGCAATCCTAGCAGCAGATAGTTAGGGTGAAGAATATACTCTTACGAGGTAAGAGTTTTCCTGAAATAGTCACGTACATGCTCTCACACAAATGAGAATTTCTGTGTCAGAACTGGGAATTCTTTTTTTCAGAAGCCTGACTTTCAAAATACCCTGTAACACAGTATTCCACAGAGTGCTTGCTATATATGCAAACAGTAGACATGCTACCTGACAATGCATTTCATTTCCCCTCAGAACTAGAATTTGCTACCTTTCAGTGTCAGATTACCCGCTCATTTCTGAACCACAATAAAAGGGGAAAAATCCTCCTAAGCTATCATTACCAATCTGACATTTTGTATGCATGTGTCTATAAACATACTGCAATGTCTCACATGTTTTTGGCAGATAGCTAAATAAGAATTAAAATTTTCACCTAAGTGAGGATCATGATTCCTTTTAAACTGGAATTCCTTTTAAAATACCAATCAAAATTTATTTATTTCAGATAAAGCAACTTTCCACTTTTTCTGTCTTGTTTTATACCCACAATTACAAAAAATATAGACTAAAATCATTCAGAAGAGTCAGTTCTAAAGAGATATAAGAACAGACACACTTTTATCATTGGTATCTTGTTAGTTACAGATTTATTTTCCCTCCAAACTAGCTTACAATTAAAAAAAAATAAAAGAGACTGTCCTTACAGACAATAAGAAATTTCCTGAATAAAAAAATATAAATATTATTGCATGGACTTTCATTTCCTAAAGATTGCTATTAGATTGCTATTTCAGCAAATATCTACACATATATTTCCAAAATGTGATATACCATCATATATAGTATAGATGTATTTAAAATTGCTGAACTGTTGCCTCAAATGGTGTTCCTATCTTTCTTTTCATTAACATCACTTGATTTATGCTAAAATATACTGCTTATTAAAACATTTGCTTAGATGAAGTTAATGAGATCACATTTGGCTCGCCTTTGGGATTGACAACTTGCTAAAAAGCATGTCTTGACTACTGGTTCAATTCATTAACTGTCCACCCCATTTATTAAGGTTTGATTGTGTTTGTTCTGCTTTTTTTTTTTTTTTTAAATGAGTTGCAAAAGGACAGTTTTTATTCAACCCATTTCCCCAGAGCTGCTATATGTCTGTTGAAAGGAAAAGATGTACCACCATGGCTGAAAAACAGTAGTGTTAACTGTCTCTGTGAATGATCCTACTAGAACAGGACTTAAAAGCATTAGAGAAAAGGCTGTCCATTCACATGGTCCCACCCATCTCATCTTACCTAAACATTCTGAAATAACAGTGGATGTATTCACACTGCCTTACATGAGTACTTCCCAGTAGAAGAAGTGGCTTTGAGTGAAAGCTGGAAGTTCCACAGTCTTCCAAGCTGATACAATTTGTCTAAAATGCATACTGCACCACTGGAGCTCACCAGTCTCATTTGCTTTCTGGTTTTTTATGAGATAGTGCTGGGCTAACAGAGTGGAATTCCAGGACGTACAATGCTCAGGTTATCTATGACACTTACCCATTAGGTCTAAGGTCAGGCAGGCGCCTGTCCAGTGGCAGGCGATCACTCAGGTACGCATTGTAGCCGTAATACTGGAACTGTTTAAGTGCAATACGTCTGTTTTCAGGACTGAGATCCTGGCCCCAATGAGCAAAGAGAGATGAGTCAGTGAATGCCTCAGCAGGATTTTCTTCAGGTTTTGGTGGAGCTTCTATAACAGACAAAACAAAAAAACAATTTTAGACTGACATTCCAAGAGGTTCTAGGGCGCATTAGTTTAAAAAGTATAACTTTAAGGCAAACACCAGGCAAAACAGCAAATGCTTCCAGTTTACTTCAGTCTGTAAGCCTTCACAAAACATGCCCTCACGTGCTTCTTTGAGTCAGTATAACTATTAGTACCTGAGGCTTAAAAGATAAAACTCAAAAAATACTTCTGTTAAAACCAATTTTCTCATCACAACAAAACTGAAAGCCAGGACTGATAACTCTGAATGAAATTTCAAAAATATTCTCATCAGAAAATAAGAATATTTATTTATTTATTTATTCATTTATATGCAAAGATGAACAATTTAATTTCAAACAGAATTACCGTACTAGGAAAAGGATGAAATTTTGAAGGCCATAGAAAGACAGTCTGTACAGGATAGACGATAGTATATAATTGCACAAGAGGTCTGTTCAGAGTGACTGGTAGCACCATCATCTCATCTATCCATCTAGTCCCTCAGCCTTCATTCAGGTGACCACGTAATCCAGCCTAGAGAACCACTTGTCTCTGCAAACACTTTATTATATACAGTACACTGTTAAAGGAATACCAAACATCTTACTTGGCTTTGATTTATCATCACAGATATTTTCTGAAAGTCCTAATTATGAATAGTCTCCAACTAAATAAAGACTCTCATTTCACAAGAGCTGCATTCAGAAACAACAACTCATTAGTACTGAACTTCAGAAAATAAAAGTAGATATTCAAGTAATTATCGATATTCCAACAGGCAAAACATTCACTGTTGAGAGCCAGGACAACATCATCCTCCACACCCACAGTCACCTACAGACTTTACAGCTGGCTTAAGCTAGCTACACAGCAACATGTAAAGAAAACAGTTTGTGTAGTAACAGTACATACCACTATTATAGTGACTTTCCAAGTGTGCCAAGAACCACATTCTTTGATCCCTTACTAAAATGAACCCAAAACACAAAAACATAAATTGAGCTTAAGTTGTTTGATTCTCTCACAATGTTTGTTATTATCCTCTGAAAATACTGACAGGAAACCAATGACACTTGCATTTGATTCCAACCTTTCTACTGTTTATTTACACAACAAAGTACTGCTTTACAGCCCGAATCTTGGAATCCACTGCACTTCTTCAAAGACATGCTAAATCCTCAGTCAAATGATACAAGCCTTGCTGCCAAATAGGTAAATGTCACAGAGTAGAGATTTTTACAAGTCTGCAAAGTACATTTAAAAAAACTCAGTAAATTCAGATCACTTTTGGAAGATCCTAACTTAAGAAAGGCAGAATGATTTTAAATACCAGTCCAAAAATCATAGCAGTGGGGAAAGCTGCAGTTCTCTCTCTTTATATGTTGACTACTAAGTGACCTCAACAAAAAAAAAGCTTGAATTTACATAAGTAATCTTACAAACTATCTTCAGATTGTAAGAGATACTTTGATTAGGTGCAGCCAGTAGAAATCAATGTTGTTCAGTACTTTTTAAGAGCATATACACATATGCTAGTCAAGAAAATGTGCTATTCAAGCATTTAACTCAGATCAACCACATATCCAATTTTCCTATTGGAACACAGTCTTCACAGCAAATGGGATTTAAGATAGGATCACACTTAAAGTCACACAAACACTACTAAATATAAATTCTACATAATGAGCTTTTCTAAAAGGTAAGTGGGTTGAGCAACCTGAGTTTTTGGGATGCTGACACTTGTACAGCAAAATAACACTGATTAGAAAAGGAATTTGATAAAGTGGGCATGCGAGAATCTAATGAGGTTTAAGAGGGCCAAGTGCAATGGTTGGGATGATCCCAGATGTGAGTACAGACTGGGAGAAGAATTCATTGAGAGCAGCCATATGGAGAAGAACTTGAGGGGGTCCTGATGGATGAGAAGCTTGACTGAGCCAGCAGTGTGCTCTTGCAGCTCAGAAGGCCAACAGTATTCTGGGCTGCATCAACAGAGGGATGGCAGCAGGAAGAGGGAGGTGATTCTCCCCCTCTATTCCACCCTTGCAAGGCCTTATTTAGAGTATTGTGTCCAAGCCTGGGTCCCCCAGTACAGGAAGAACGCAGAGCTGTTGGAGCAAGTCCAGAAGAGGGCCAGAAAGATTATCAGAAGGCTGGATCACCTCCTGTGAAGAATGGTTGAGGGATTTGGGCTTGTTTAGCTTGGAGAAGAGAAGGCTCCAAGGAGACCTCACTGCAGTCTTTCAGTACTTGAAGGGAGTTTGTAAGCAGGAGGTGGACTGACTTTTTCCATGGTCTGATAGCAATAGGATAAGGGGGAATGGCTTTAAACTAAAAGAGGGGAGATTTATGTTAGATCTTTGGAAGACAGTTTTAACTCAGAGGATGGTGAAGTGCTGTAAAAAATTGCCCAGAGAGGCTGTGGATGCTGCAGTCCTGGAGACATTTCAAGACCAGGTTGGATGAGATCCTGTGCAGCCTGATCCAGTGGCTGGCAACTCTACCCATGACATTGAGGGGCTCAAACTAGATGACCTGTAAGATCTCAACCAACATAAGCCACCCTATGATGAGATTCTATGAAACAAGATAGTTATAAAGAAAAAGAATAAAATTGGACACGTCCAGAGAATACAGGTTCTGTACGACTAAGCCACAAACATGCAATACTCACTCAGCAAGTTCAGAAACTTTAAGCTTCACATGCAGCCTTCTCTTTTCCCCAGACTTCCTACATTCATCAGCCTGAGACTCTGCCTTCTACTTATGAAAGGCTGGTAAATTAATACTCCCACAAATTCCTTGGTAACTATTTCACATCTGTTAAAAATTAAGGTACGAAAGCATCCATTTTTTCTAATGTCCACACAGAATTAACACATTCAAGGTAGAAAAGTGTACTGACAGAACTGTGAGAAGAGTTTTTCAAGCTGAGGAATGAAGTGATAGGAACAGTCACTCCCCTGCCAAGCTGCCCATTCTGAGGTCAACACCCTTTCCTCTTCTCCCATGGCTTACAGCACCGACAGGAAAAGTGGTATTAATCTGGATTTCTCCAAATCAAGCATGCTTTTCTGAAGGCTTTAACTTTTATGTTCATATCAGTGGCAGGTGACTGGCTGATATAGGATCTGCCAGTTAACAACCACATAAAAGTGCCTCCAAAAAGGTCTGAATAAAAAGTAAGACTCGCTGTAAGAACTATGCACACCCAAGCATTTGTAATTGCGTATGAGGACAATTTTTCATGCATTAATGTCCATCTTGGGAATCACTGTATTCAAAGAATTACATTCACACAGGCATCTATTACATTTTATCTACAAATTCTGTGGCCAAGAGCATTACCTCAAGTGACATATGAAACTCTTGTTGCTTTCTGATTGATAAAGTAGTCAGTAAAATCTAGGTTGCATCTGTAAGACTAAGATTTTCAAGCAATTGAAATCCGTGGATTCAATTGCTGTTTACAAGGTCCAAATATAAACACTTGCCAAAACTTGAAATTAAAACTTCAAACAATGGAATTAAGCATTCATTTCTGATGACAAAACCTTTCTTTTCTTTAACTGAAAACTCTTGGGGAAGTGCATTTGTTCAATCAGTGTTTCACTTGACATAAAAACAATTACTATAAGACCATTAGCTGCCTTTTGACTACTCCATCAGTGTATTTTACATCTTACTCTCTGAAAACAGAGCTTGACCTGCAGTCTCCCAAGCAGTTCTTAGCACTTGCTTCTACAATTGCAGAACAATCATGGGAAACTAAGGCTCAAAGGTGAGCCAGGAAGTAGTACTGCCTGAAGCTATACTAAGGTAGGCACATTTATCTGCTCAGCTATTACTAAGAAGGAAAGATCAGTCCCATTTCTCCTGTGGGAAGAAAGCTTATTATCCACAGCACGTTTCTGTACGTGTTAACATGGGGTCTTCACTATCATGACTTTCTACATCATGCAAAAAGTTCTATACACACATAGAAAGCTGATATAACTCTTAGCAGACTGACACTTGGCCACTAAATTGATTTACTTAATAATTTACTCAGAGGTCAGTTGGTTGTACACCTGGGTTGTCAGAAGCAGGAAATCAGAAGATACTGATGAAATCCAGGGTGTATATGACACGAAACCAATCCTCTCTTAGTAACAAAACCTATTTTTACCAGTAACTGAAGCTTGAATAAACTTGCATTACCTTGCATTTGTGTAATGAAACACACACCCACACTTCAAAGTTTTAACAGCTTTCTCTATTGTGCTGGGTATGAACAACAAGGTTTGGGTGGCAGGGGCTGCAGGAGTAGGAAGAGATCTGGGGCTGCCCTGTGCCAGACACTCTTGGCTCTGCAGCAGATCCACCACTGGCCAAAGATAAGCCCATCAGTGATGCTGACAGCACCTTTGAAACAACCTATCTAAGAAAGGACAGAAAGCAACAAGGAAGAGAGAACAAGGGTACAAGAGAACAACAAAAATAACTAAGTACTGAGAGATGACCGAGGTGAGAGAATTAGAAATTGCTCCATGGTGGAGCAGATACATCCCCACAGGACCTGCACACTGTGAATAAGCTCACACCAGAGCTCAGCAAACACGTAGGTAAGAAGGTGGAGTGGAAGAAGAGAATGAAAAACAAGGAGAATGCACTGAACCTGACCTCCTGTGCTATCTGTTGAAGGGATTGAGCATAACCAGCTGTAACAAGGGAGCTGCAGAGGAGTCTTAAGAGATGAAAAGTCTGGGAAAAGGGGAAAAGAAGTATTTTCCTCCAAGTATTTTAAGTTGTTGTGGTCTTAGTTCTCCAATATCCAAGTCAGTAACTATACATTCACGTTAACTGGCAATAAAATAATGCTTTCTTCAGAGGGTGTACAACCACACAACAAACAGAAAACAACATCTATCCCTTATTGTTATCAGGAAACTGTAGACAAGCAATGCGTTAGCAGCAACAAGACAGACCTTATTCATTCAAAA